TTGGCCAGGGGACACAGTGGGGGGGCGGCTCCCACCTCTGCGTGCACCCTAGGAGGACATGGGGGGGTGTGCCTGGCCCACTGCAGCCTGGCCTAGCCCATGCTGGGAAGAGCCTGGCGTAGACCCAGCACCAGCCCGCAGTGGCAGCCTGCCCTGCTCTGCCCTGCGCAGATCCAGGGGGCACACCCCCATGCCCTCCTAGAGTGTGCAGTGGTGGGAGCTGCCCTCCCCATGTCCCCTGGGGGTGCCCTACCCCAGTTGGACAGTGCCTGCCCCAGCCCCACTCCCCCCCCTCACTGTGGGGGCCTTGATCTGTGCCTCTGACACCTCTTCCCTCACCCCTCCCCTTCCCTCACTCCTCCCCTTCCACTGCAACAGACTTATCAGATGGATGCAGCTCTGCAAGCTGCTTGGCTGTGCCCCTCACCGCCGACGTGCTACGCTGTGGCTGTGCACATGCATGGGACATCTATCAGCTACGTTATTGGCCACATCAGGCAAAAAAAGGTTATTTCCAATACAGTCAATTTTCTTTATATTGGTGCTGATCCAATATCAGACCAATGTATTGGTATACCTCCAAATATTTTACTTCAGATCTTTGCTTACAGTTTATGCGTCCTCACTGGATCCCCTGCCCTCCTTTCATTCTCCAGCAACTATTAGTAAGCTGCACCATATTTGGGAAACTACAGGTTCCCAAATATGCTTGGTATACATGTATAGTATATCCACTGTACTTAGCCTCAGAGCAGATACATGGCCCCTTGTGCACATACAAATCTAGGTATGCATCACAAAAATTGCAGCCGGGCAAAAACTTTTGACTAGTGGGTGTTAGGCAGAGGAGCAGGGTCTTGTCATGTTTTAGCTGAATGGCCTATTTAGCTAATAAACTAGCGGTTAAAGAGAAGGAGATATTTAGGGCCATAAGAAAGAGCAGAAGCTAGAGGATGTGTGGCCCAGTGAGACAGTGCTATTTTGGAAGGTGGGGGCCCCTGGGTTTTAGTTGGAACCTTTGCTCCCAGTGGAGCAGAAGGTTTTCTACCACTCCATTCATTTTATCTATGGAATACTAATGGAAGGCACACTGGATCAGTTTCAAGAGGGAGGGTTGGATAGCAGGCTGGATAATGCCTAATTAGTAGCTTGGTGGACAGGGTACAGTGCTAGCAAGACAGAAATGTGGATTCAAACATTCTCAGTGTGGAGGAGGCCTAAAATCAAGGTCTCCTGCTTCCTGGGTAGGT